TAGAATTTATTATAATTATACCTATAATATGTATATAGGCATTATTCTACAATCAACGCAAAGCGAACGTCGGCGTTCGTGCGGCTTTTGTTCTTCAACTGTCTCAAATTGAAAAGTTAGATATAGGTAAAAACGCGTCGCAAAATGTGTTGTTAAGTTTACTCTCACTGATTTGTTATATCGTCCATATCAATTTCAGGACCAGGTTCTTATGATAGAATAGTGGAGGGGAAATACGGTAATTATGGCACTTGTTATATGACTTAATAATATGTTATTATATATACATATGTATATTGAAGTGAGGGAGAGCCAAGCTTCGGCTCGATCGGTGTGATACCACAGCCTCATAGAAAACCGGCGTGAGACAACCACAGCGTTGGTTTTCTTCGTGTGAATGAGGTTTACCGGCATTTAATTTATACTTTTTTTTTAATAAAGAAAAATAAATACTTTTGTTTTCTAGGAGCCTATGTCGTTTGGTTTCACATCAACCGTTTAATTTTTGCGTTCCCTCTCTGCGAGGGAATGTCTTAAGACATCAAGGCAGAAAAAAACAAATGAAGCCCTACATTTCATTGAACGAGATAGCTATGAAAAATGAAAAAAATAATTTAAAAAGTGTGTTAAACAAGACTTACATGTGTAAGTACAAAGTGTTAATGAACTCACTATGACTACTGGCTTGATATAGGAACGCGGTTTTGACATTCACCTACAGCGCTCAGTCAAGGTTTTCTTAAAGAAACATACAAATATATAATATTTTATGAACTCACAGCAAATGCTCGGCAATTACAATATGTACTACAAGATTCTTTATAGCAGTAGTTTAATATTTTATTGATTGATTACAACTTCCTCGTCAATTTTGATTGAACGGTTGGCGCGGTGGCTGAGCAACTAGCTGTCGCGCGACGAGTCGCGTTTTCGATTCCCGCACGGAACAACACTTTGTGTGATCCACAAATTGTTGTTCCAGGTCTGGGTGTTAGGTATGAGAATTGTATGTTCGTAAACGCTCCCACGACGTAGGAGAAAACCCTAGGGTAGGACATAAAAATAAAATATAAATAAATATATAATTCTGTGGTTTAAGTTATGAGTTTTGAAATGTGCCAATCGCATTCGTGATTACCGCTGCACCAGAAACCTCAGAGAAGTGACGGATACTTTGCTGTATATGACATTCGGACAACGGGCTGGCCGATAAAAAAGGCTAAAACCAAGAAGGATCGAATCGTTCGCAGTCATAATACCATCAACCTTTTTTCTTCTACTCTCTCTACAACTTCTGTGGATATATATGATAGGAAGGACAAATTTTTGGCTTAAAGGACTCGTATCCAGGCCATAAACTCCAAAAAAAAAGGACTAATTTTCGGACTAATCCCCCTCCCCCTCCCTCGTTCCTTCTTCTGCTAGACCGTGATACTTTATTGCGCTTGGCCCGCAACCCTCGGCTGAAATCATCAACCGAAAGATAAATGTAAGAAAAATGCCCTTCTGAAAATTAATACTGTTTTTAGTTAAATTTAGATAATATGACTCAGTATCAACTCAGAACTAAGTGAAAAAAGGTTAAAAGAAAGAAGATGTTGTTGCTGACAATTTTATTGAACTTGATCAGTTTAGACAGAGATCGAATGTCAAATGAATTAAAACCGGGAAACTCCGCTAGCCGTCAAGACAACAGATAAAAAAACACAGCCTAGGTTGTCAGTAAGGAGGTTACAATAAGTACATAAAACCTACTTTGAAGCATAATGCAGTCTCACCAATTATATCTCGTTGGCAGATTGACGAAGGTCCATTTGAATACAATTATTAATTTTTGAATTAAATTTTAATTAAACGTTGATTATTAAAAGGTAAACCAGACTTAACTAACAAATTAAAAATGTGGGAGAGTCATGATTTTGCGTGAATGGGAAGAATCATTTAATGGCTTTTCAGGCCCTGGATAGCACAAAAGGAAGTTTAACAGTCTTACTGACTAATTACTATTTACACACACATTCTAAAACAAAGGGTTAAATCCATCATCATACCCCAAGAAAAGATGTGGACGACAGCTCAACAAGGGCCTCCTCCAACCACTTCTAGCTTGGCGAGTTAGATGGCATAAATTGAAAGAGGTGTAGGGTAGAAAATCACCGAGTTGTTCATCCAACTAAATTCATAAGGAAAATCATACTGACTAAAAACTAACTTCTATCCCGATCCCGTGACTCTAGACAGACCCGACTACAGACTGGGGCCCGTCTTTGATAGTCTAGATGACTAGTTCTAATGACAGAGCTACAAACTTCAGATGCAAAATATATCAAAATAAAAACCTTTGTCTTCAAAAACAATCAGGTACCTACAGATCTCTGAGAATGAAGTACCTTACCAGGTACATTTTCAATTTACATTAATTCACCTTTTAATTGGACAGAAATCGAACTTGTAACTCATTGGCGTGTTAATGAAAGCAACGGTAATGAACTAATGACTAATTCATTGACTGTTGATTGATGACACTGATCATTCATCTAAAAGTAGGTATTATACAATTGTAGTTAGATTTTTAATTACTAATGGCTTGTCATTGTGAATGAAACCAAATAACCTTAGCTAGACTAAAGAAAGAGCGAGAAATAATTAATTTATTGATTACTATGCTACTATATCATCATCGTCATCATCATCACCAGCCTGCCCACTGCTGAGCAAAGGCCTCTTCTCACACGGGTTTGAGCATTAATCATCACGCTTGCTCAAGGCAGATTGGCGATTTCAAACTATAAAATTTAGAAATTATGTTTTTTCCTTCACCTTATGTTAGTGGTGTCTAAATAATCATAGAAAGTACATATAACTTGGAAAAAGTCACATTGGTTCTTGCCAGGTTCGCTCATGCATGATAAGCGGGCGCCTTAACCTCCAGGCCACCACGACGACACACGGGTGCAATGCTAAAACTACATAAATTTCCCCACGATTTAATGGATGTTATTATACATAAACCTTTCTCTTCAATCAGTCTATATATATAAAAAAAACAAATGATAATCAGTTGCGTAGTTTCATAGATTTAGGTATAGGTGTGTATATAGGGATATAGGGGCAGAGAAAGTGACTTTGTTCTATACTACTTATGTAGTTTTTAATACACACGTACATCTATGATTACAGGTTAAACCAAATACGACAGAGAAGTTACTCTAAGGTACCTACTCAATCAGGGACGTCGTTTTTTCTACATTCTACTAACGGAAGCGGAAGGAACCCTTTGCTCCAAGATTCTGACTTCCGACATTTTTGTCACACAGAAAAAGACAATTGACCAAACGAAGGATGATTCTGCAATTTTTGTAAACATCGAAATAACAAAAAAAAAACGCTATTATTTATTAGGAAATGTGGTGTCATTATAAATCGTCTCACGTGGGAGAATGGTGCTGCGCGTGTCGTGGCATCTAGGTAATGGCCGGATTGCGTATGACTTTGACATATTCTTTCAAAAGTGCATTTGTATTTTTTTTTTTTAATGGTATAAGTCGGCAAACGAGCAGACGGATTACCTGATGGTAAGCAATCGGCGCCGCCCATGGACACCCGCAACACCAAAGGAGTTACGAGTGCGTTGCCGGCCTTTTGGGGATGGGGGTTGCGGATATAAGGATTGGGAAGGGATAGGGGAAGGGGAGGGATTGGGCCTCCGGTAACCTCACTCACACGGCGAAACACAACGCTGTGGGTTGTTTCACGCCGGTATTCTGTGAGGCCGTGGTATCACTCCGGTCGAGCCGACCCATTCGTGCCGAAGCTTGGCTCTCCCACACTTAAAATTTATAATGTAATGTTGTAATACTAATGTTTCCTATCCTCGAAATTTTGTAGTTGTCTTATTTGAAAATTGAGGCGTTTTGTCACTACTTTTTATCCTTGAAGCTTGTGACAGGACATATCAGATAAAAGCATGTACCCACACATTATTTTTTAATAATGGAAGATTGTGAGAATGTGTGGACATATGATTGTTATTCTTACACGCTAAAACGAACGGACAGATTTAGTTGTAATCTGGCATGGGTGATGCCCTGGACACAACAAACATATAGGCTGATTTTTGCTGGCGGAAATTGAAGTTCGTGATAATTACTATGATTCAAATCAAGTACAATTACAGATACTTTAGGTTTTTACTCTAATTCATTACGACAGGCACCTTATTGTTTTGTTTACCTATAATTACCTACTACTGAACAAATTAAGATACCTAACCGTTAGATACTGAAAAAATAAGTTAATTAAAAAAAATAGTACAAGGCAGAATGATCTGCTGCTATCAATAGGTATGCAAATTCCAAAAAAGTAAAAAATAAATCGTTGGATCTTGGTTATCGAATGGGAAGTCGACGTTCCATATTTTAAATTTTGTTATTTGTATTTAATTTCTGCCAAAAGCCCGGGTTTTTTAAATTATGAACAAAGCAAATAAGTGGAAACAATGATAGTTATGATACCAAACACGTGGTTTATTTAAATAGTTTATTAGGTACTTTTACAAGTAACATTTATTACAAATCAGTGTTAATAACCAATGTTATTTTTATGAAAACTAGTGACCCAGCCCTGCTTCGAACGGATGCAATGCTGCTACTAAATTTCTTCACTGTTTAATACATGTTATTAACTTATTATTTATCCATATAAACCTTCCTCTTCAAACACTCAATCTATAAAAAATCTGCATCAAAATCCGTTGCGTATATGAATATAGAGACTAACAAAGCGACTTCGTTTTATACTAGATACTTAGGTATGTTGGGATGCGATGATTTAAAAAAAGAACACTTTTTAATTTAAATTTGGGCTTTTAAATATTAATCCGTTACATCGTCACTAATAAATAATTCCATTTATGAAAATAATCTCAACTGATTTTTTAACCATCATTGTTTATTTTTTTTCACTATCTTAACAACTAATAGCAAGCAAGAGTAACTTACCTAAAAGGACTAGATATCACTTTTATTTATTTTTTTATTAATTATTTTTTATTTAAAGGACGCATCCACAACACAAATAAAGATCAACTAAACCATTGCGGACTTGTTACCGTGCTTATAAAGAACGTGAACTTTTTTCAGAACGCGTGGCCGTGACATTGACTGTCGATCAGCGCACTACTGAGTTTACGCATAATTAAATTGTTTGAAACGTAATTTTATTTCAGGTTTGGGGCTGCATTTTCAATAGTCAGATAAATGTTTTGTTTGCGAGGAATAAAATTGTTGCTGAAACTGTCTCTTTTGAAATTCCTTAAAAAATTATCCGAAACTAACGGATAATTTCATATCGCATCTAGTAAAATAAAAAAATTTATTCATATTTATAACATCCCTACTTTAACGGCCTTCGATTTTACTTTCAAACTTTATATTTGTATGTTATACGTATGTAGCATAATATGGGTGGTATTCCCCGAAGGGCTGGGTTTCTTTTATGTACAATAAAGACACTTTTTTTAACTCTAACATGGTATATTATCCTGACCCTTAAGTGAAGCTCAGGCTTTACGAGAAGAAAAAGACTGTGAGACTGTGAGGCTCTAGACACAAAATGTTCCGATCGAGAAACCTGACTTTTTAATTGACCCGAGGTAACCTACTTCATCTCAATCAAGAATGAAACATAAGAAGACCTGTTTTTTCCGAAAATACTCGACTGCCAGTCGAGACAATCTCTTCAAATAGACACGATCAGTACTTTAAGAAACTTTCGAAAAAAGAACACGGTTTTTGCTACAAAATAAATCCCATAACGCAAAAGATGACTAATAGTCACTTGAAAGACCTTCAGAATGAAAAAAAAAGTAATCTGGACACTACAATGCAATACACCAATATATTTTAGACCTGTAACGAGAAAAAAATCACCGTAAACAGAGATCAGTATGGACTGGTCAATCGTAACCTGCAGCACGTTTCGCGGTAAATAAACATGTAGGAAGTCAGTTACTGATTTATTGGCACAAAGAACTTAGCTTTAGTTTTGTATGCAAACTTATTAATTAAATAGGGAAACATTTAGGCACGTATTCGTTATAATTGAAAATGGAGCAATTTTAAGAATCATTGCGATCGAGTTGCTAGTTCACTGCCGGGTTTTGATTGTACTTGTTAAGAATATAAAAGGATAACTAATAGTAACTTCGAGTACAACTCTGAGAATTTTATTTTACGGTTTGAGACTCCTAACTATTTAACTGATGACAAGCTATCGGCGCCACAGACTGTTGTTGTGTGTGTGTTGCTGACTTTGCAGGTTTGTCAGGGATTAGAGGATTGGCAATTTGGGGATTAAGGATGAGAGGGAAGTAGATTGGGCCTCCGATAACCTATTCACCCAGGGAATAAAGAAGAAATAAAGATAAAGGTAGATGGATTTCCCGAAAAATAAAATGAAAGAGGGAACAGTTTATGGTAGGATGACATTAAACAGATTAGAATAGGAAACACGGAAATATTGTGTCGACTTGACTACTACTTCCGATCGGATAAGGGCAGGAATAAGTAACAAGATCTTCTTTTTTACGTAGGTTTGGTCAGCTTTTGTTCCTGACCCTAATTACGGATATTTTATTATGTCGTAGCCACTGCATCATGCCTAATAATCATTCACAAGCAGTTTCATCACCATAATCCTGAGCTAGAAGACGTTGTCAGACACTTATGACGGGGATATATAGACGGGGATTGGAGTTGGTTATACGGTGAAAATTCTGAGGATTTATGATGTTGTCAATTTTAGTAATAGGGGAAGGATTTTCAAGTTTTCTTTTTAATAGACTAATGCGGTATACGAGCAGACTGATCAACTTATGATAAGCAATCAGTCTCGCCCATGGACATCCGCAAGACCAAAGGAAATACAACTGCACTGCCATTGATTTGGAGATTTTGGATTTAAGGATGAAATATTTGGTGATTACATCCATTCCTCTCCACAGAATTGGGCCTCCGAAAATTTTTTGATTGTGAAGCGTATACGATTTAAATAGTTTTTTCATAAAAATACTAATTTATTTTTATTTAATGGTGAAGTGTCTGAGTTCTCTACCTGTACTTTTGGTGTGCAATATATTCGCAATTAAATATGTGATTTTCTATAAGATTAGATATTTGGTAGGTATACTAACCTGCGTGGTACTAACTCACAAATTATATTCTAGTCTAGTCTATTAAACCAATAACAAAGCATATTAATTTGCAGTTAAACATTGTGAAACAATTTATAACTATTTTATATCGGTTTAATTTTAAAATAAACCATTTTAGATGTTTATGTAATGTGACGTCATCGTTTTGTGTTCTAGTCATCGTAATTGTGAATGTCATAGAGATAAAGATAATATTACTTGGTTTGGTTGTCATGGGGTTTTTTATCCGATCAAATACCAGATGCGTGAAAAGTACCTTCGGCCACCATTATAACGCAATTCTGCGGATGACAGGTACTTATGACAGGTTTATCATCAAATGACTTCTCTCGCCTAAAGAGACTCTTACTGACCAGAAACCATTTGTCCAGGCTGGAGCCGCGGTACCTTAACCCATGTTAGGTATACGCGAAACACAATGTGTTTTCTATTGTGTCTCATATACCTACCGACAGACAAGAGATTAATGAGCTTAACCAGCAACCTTGGCTGAACATCGACCCTGTTGGACTCCATCTCTGGTGGTCTACTGACTTTTGAGGTGCCCGCGGAACGCTATACGCGCCTCAAACGCCGTCTTACTTGTTTTTTCTTTTTTTTTTGTCAGGGGCAAATCATCCAATGACTTATCCCGCCCAGGGCCGGGTGGGAGGAAGTGTCAGACTCTTACTGACTAAAAATCCCCCTGTTCTTTCTCCTGCTCTGGGCCGAGGTCGCGGTGCCTCATTGCGCTTACCCCGCAACCCCGGGTCTTACTTACAAGCACAGCAATGCAACGTGACCCCGGCTTAGAGCGGAAAAAGGAACGAAATATTTTTAGTCAGTAAGAGTGTAACATTCCCTCTCTTTCCAACCAAGTGGAGAGATTTTCCACCCTTAAAAAAATCTCTCATGGGTTCCTTAAACTTTGGGGATGAGGATGGGGGAAGGATTAGGTTTCACGCATCCTCATACACAAGGCTGTGTTTCACGCCGGTTTTCTGTGAGACCCTAATATCACTCCGGTCAAGCCAGCCCTCTCACACCTTAGAATTACTACTTTTTAATTTTATTACTACTTATTTTTTTTTATTTAACTTAAAACTTGTCCTCAGTAAAACAGGTAATAAGCAGGTGGCATTTGTCTGTCTGTGCGACTGTCTGGTCGTTGCCAAATAAACACTACCAGTAAGTTATAACAAAATTTGCAAACATTTCGTCAGTCGACGTAATACATACTTACGTGTGAATTACCGGGTTAGGCATACAGTTTTGTTTTGTATTATTTTCTTTCCCTACTCATAGCTTTTCCTTTCCCACATTATGTTTAATTACACGGCTGTTGTCCACCGAAGCGGTAAAACGAAGTAAATAAAGCGATAAGGTGAACGAAATTTTTTTTTGTGGAATGACGGAAAACGTGCTGACGAATTACCTGATAGTAAGCAATCCGCTGCCACCCATGGACACCCGCAACAGAGGAGTTACAAGTGTGTTGCCGATGTTTTGGGGATTAGGGATTTAGAGATTTTGGGATTGGGTAAGGAGAAAATTTGAGCCTCCGGTAACCTCACTCACATGGCGAAACACAACGATGGGGTTGTTTCACGCCGGTTTTCGGTAAGGCCGTGTGATATCATACCGGTCGGGCCGACTCATTCGTGCCGAAGCATGGCTCTCCCATACTTAAATATCCCATTTTTTTTTCTGGCACCGTATTACGTAACAATTCTTCTCTCGAGGGAAAATGGCGGTAAAGACGGCAGTGCTGAGCAACCATTTTAATTACTTTGGAATTCCAGAGACCTACGTTATGTAACATTGTTTGTCCATAATAATAAAAACATTGATTTATGTCTACTAATTCAATTGGTAGTAGATGACAGTCCCAGCTTCACATGGGTAGGTACCTACGATTTCACACACGCTTCATACTTTTCCAATTAAACTTTTATATTATTTTTCTCCAATTGGATAGATTCCTAGGTCAAAAACATAGATTTTCTTGTTATAAATCTATGGTCAAAAATAAATTAATTCTACGTTTTAATATAATAAAATATTGAAAAATAACTATAGGTTTTTATTCATAGATCTTTCGATACACTAAATTATCAATGCGTTTTAGCTAATTTTTAAGAAATAAGTAGGTTATTTGAAGCGAAAACACTACCCATTACTATTAAAAATTGGACTTTAATACTTTCATAGAAAAGTAGGTACAGTCTTCCACATTTGGCTAAAAGTATGTAAATTGACTATTCGACACAGTCTGTAGGTATAAATTTTTTTACAGAAATCAAACACAAAAAAAAATATAAAATGAAATAATATTTGGTGCAGTCGTTCGAAAATTAAAAGCGTGCAAACTTTTTTCTTGCCGTCCGCCAACTACGCATTTTCTCCAGCCGGCCAGTCACATTTTAGTCATTCCGACGATTCATTTTTATTTATTTACTTATGTTGCAATAAGGTTTTTTTAATGTTATGATAATTCTTCCATGTCATCATGATGTTATGTATTTAGGTATTTACCTAGATATTATAGTGTGTATTACATTCGAGTTATGGTGTTCCATAAACATTAATTGCAAAATATACTTATTAAATCACTCTTGTTGACGCCCGAGGGCATCGACAAACAGCATAACCCTAATAAATATTTTTTTGGCAAACGATAGCACACGGACTACCGAAGCAATCAGTGCGGCCCATGGACACGCACAACAATGGCAGAGTAACAAGTACGTTGCCGTCCTTTTGGGGATTAGGGTTTTGGAGATTCAGGGATTGGGGATAAAAATGTATGTATTAAACTGACCCATCTCGGTCATGATGGCGAATCCGTCTAAATGGACTGAATATCTTAGTCCAGTC